CCAGGAGTGAGTGGGCAGCTTCACTGGGCCTGGTGTTAATGGGCGTCGAAGTCAAGAGCCCTATTTTCTCAAGGGTCCACTGGATACAGAGGAGGTATGGTGGCGTCCTGGGGAGTGGGGGCTGCCCACACCCACCCTACCCTGTGGCACATAGCCAGGTATTTCAGCCCAGCGGGATCAGGGCTGTGATGGGAGATGTCCAGGCAGTGGTAGGGACAAAGGGGCTCTTGACCTCCTGCCATAATCGAAGAAGGCTCCCAGGGTAAGTGCTGGCCCAGCTGAGATTGGAGCTGCCAGATGAAGGGACTCCAGAAGGAAGGAACAGCAACGCCCCACGTGTCTCCTTCCCTGGATTGGTGGGAGTAGGGGGTGTCCCCAGCTCCGATAAACAGCTGTGCCTCCTGCAGCTGCTCTGCCCTTTCGTCCAGAGGCTCTGAGGGAGTATTTTCCCAGAAGTAAGATTCCTGACCTGGCCGTAGTGACTTTCCCTGTGACCTTGGCTGAGGACCCATATGGCCCCAGTTACCATTCCTGAGGCTCAGAGGANTCTAGAGCTGGTGTTCAATCCTGGTTTGGGGCTTGGCTGGAGTCAGGGCTTCTGTCCAGGTTTGGGGGCTCAGTCAGTGTTGGGACTCAGCTGGGTGTTGGGGCTGTTTCATTTTGGGCTCCTATAACAGTACCAGAGACTGGGGGGTTTCAAAACAACAGACATTTATTTCTCATGGTTCTGGGAGCTGGAAGTCCAAGATCAAGGTGTGGCGGATCTGATGTCTGGTGAGAGTCCGCCTCCTGGCTCATAGACATTGTCTTCTTGCTGTGTCCTCACCTGGTAGAAGTGCTCTGTTATCAGGGCACTAATCCCATTCAGGAGGGCTCCACCCGCATGAGCTAATCACCTCCTAGCGGCTCCAACCTCCTAATACCGTCACATTGGGGGTTAGGATTTCCACGTGCCTTTGGGGGAGGGACACAGACATTCAGTCTGTAGTAGGGCTCAGCACTTTCTTTCTACCCCATCGTCACCCTGTGACCCTCCCCCATTGTCCTGTAACCCTCTCTTCCCCATCCCCTGGCTCTTCCTCCACCCCCCTGTGATCCTCCTGCTGCCTCCCCCAGGGAGTCCTCCCAGATTCCCCTGCTCGCCTCTCATGGCCCCTCTGTTGTCTCTGCAGACGCTGCCTCATTTGACGTGTGGCTCGAGGCCTTTCTGTGAGGGACTGGGGCCACCCCCCCTCCAGGGCTGAGGTTGGAGGTTGCAGGTCACTGCTAAGCATGGCGCCTGCCTGGGGCCCTGGTGCAGCGTCTGTGATTGGTCCCATGGGCCTCCTTGTGGTCTTGCTCATCGGCGGCTGCGCAGCAGAAGGTAAGAGCCTGGCATAGGGTGTGCGGGTGTCTGAGTATGCATTTATGTGTGCGTGTGTGAACACATGTTGTCCCCAGGGCTCCTGGATTTGCCAAGTGGAACCTCTGTGCTCCATGAATGTTACTGAGTAAAATGCCTACTATGCACTGAGTCCTGAGAGATTCAGAGGCAAATAATAATGACGGTATTAATAAAGCAATAATGGTAGTGATGTCAACGATGCCTGCTTCCCCAGCATCAACTCTGCACCAAGTCTAGTGCTAAATACAGACTTACCTGCTTCATCTTCCTCCAGCCTCTCAAAACCCAGCATGCCTGTTCAATTACCTTCCACATTTTCCGATGAGGGAAACCTAAGGCTCGGAGTAAGAAGGGACTTAATTGAAGTTCCTCATTCCTGAGTGAGCCACAGAGTTCACCTTCCCTTGCTGTAGGTAGAAACACCAGCACCCTGGTGACAGATACACAGGCATCCAAACCTTTCCAGGCAGAGCCAGAGGAGGTTTCTTAGGAAAGAGAGGGCATTGGAGTTGGGGCTTTGTGGGTTTGTAGGAGTTCACTGGTGGAAAGGGCATCCCTAGTGAAGGTGCTAGCACATGCAGTTTGGATAGGATAAGAGTCAATTGTGGGCACACCACCAAGACCCACCCCACCATGCAGGGCCTAGAGGAGACATCACTCAGACCCATGGGGACACAGAGTCAGTCCAGAAGGGAAAGAAGCTGGGATCTTTGATTAGGCCAGTTTTGCTGAAGACCTGCTGTTTGACCTTGGGCTTATGACTCAGCTATCATTTCCTCCTTGATTGAATGAGACTTATAACATTATCCCCATCCCAGCATCCTTGTGACAAAGACAGCTGATAAGCCCCTGCATGCTGCCTGGTACATAGTAGGCCCATAGTCCCAGGTTACCACAAGCATAATAATTATTGCAGCTGGGTGAGAACACCGGAGACACACTCCTCCTCGTCCGTTGGTGCTTTTTCTCGTTTTCATGTTGTGTTTTAGTAAGTGCCTAACAGATCAGCCACCATAATCTGATGAGATGAATACTGTTATCATTATCCCCGTTGTACAGATGGGGAAGCTGAGGCATAGTCAGGTTACAGTACACCCAAGAGGTGGCCATGCTCAGATTTGAACCTGGGCCGCCTGGCTCCAGAGCCTGAATTCCCCACTATGGTATGAAGCTGCCTCCAGGCCAGAGGCCAGAGGCCAGAGGCCAAAGGTCAGGGGTGGCTGGGCTGTGATCTGTCCAGTTACTACCTAGGGCTCTGTTCCCTGCAGTGGAAATGGTGGAATAAAGGTACTAAGAATTTTAGTTTTTCATTCATTTTTTAACACAGGGTTTTTCCCTGTGGGCACTGCTGATGTTGAGGTCTTGTCATTCTCCATGGGGGGCCGTCCTCGCCACTGTGGGGGGTTAAGCAGCCCCCACCCACTCGATGCCAGGAACACCCCCAGTGTGACAACGACAGATGTCCCCAGAAAAAGATGTCTTACCCCCATTTGAGAACCACTGACTTAACTTACACTGGTTGAATAAATGATATATTTACTGCTTGGCATTTTGCTTCACTGATAATTACCAGCCTTGGCCATGGTGGAGCTGAGATCATCCCTGTTTTCAGGTGGGGAAACTGAGGCCACAAAGTGGTCATTGTGATGAGGGATAGAGATCACAGAGTTCTAGATCTAGACTCAAATCCTGGCTCAGTTTTGTGACATGGAAGGGACTGTTCTCATTCACATAAGCACCTATTGTGTGCCAGGCGTAGGTTTAGACACAGGACAAAACAAAAGTCGCACCCCCTTATGGAGCTGCTAATACAGAGAGGGAGAGACACTAAGTGTGTTAGATGGTGGACATGCCCAGGAGCAACAAAAGGGGAAAGGGAGATGAGGGTGTGGGGGGTCAGGGAGAGGTCACAGTGAGTAGGTGGCATCCATGCAGAGACCTAGAGCTGAGGAGTGCACTTCACTGGTATCTGGGGAAAAGTGCCCCAAGAAGAGGGGCTAGCATGTGCAAAGGCCCTTAGGCAGGACCATGTCTGGTTTGTTGGAGGAACAACCAGGAGACCTGTGTGGCTGGAGCAGAGAGCGGCAGGGAGGGCAGGTTGTGCAGAGCTGTGTGGGCTTGGGGAGGACTTGGGCTTTACCTCTCTGGAGGTGGAAGTCCTGGAGGGCTGTGGGTAGAGGAGGGGCTGCACCTGACTCAGGTGCTCACTGGCACCCTCTGCTGGCTGCTGTGGGGAGGACAGACCATTGTGGGTGATGGGAGGAGCTGAGGGACCCGGTGGACCATGGTGGGTTGTGACCTAGGATGTCAGCTCTGGCATGTAGCAGGTGTTCCCTTTGTAAGTCCTCATTATTACTGTATTACTTTAGGTGTTGGTAGTGGTCTAGATTCAAACCCAGGTCTCCATCTTTAGGGCTGGGACATCTCCACCCCAGTAGGTGGGTCTGTTTAGCGGGAGCCCTGTCATCTGGGGCCCAGCAGAGGGCCTGTGGGCACCATGATTGGCATTGCCAGCTTCAGGGAGTGGCCCAGGTCCTCGGGGGGCCATCTGAGGTGGGGGGCTGTCAGGCTGCAAAGAGCCTGGGGGAGCAGCTGAAGTGTTCACAGCCGGCGCCAAGAGGAGTGATTTGTGCTGTGGAAATGGCTCCTGGGCCTGTGGGGCCTTTCCAGGGTGCTGTGGGCCGGCCCAGGCAGAGTGGAAGGAGACGGTGGGTGGGTCTGTGAATTTGGCACCAGATTCCTCTCTGCAGAATCTGAAATGGAAAAACAGAAATCAGGCCTTTCCCAGCCTTTGCACTGCTGGCCTCCCCACTTGGAAACTCAGTCTCTTCATCTGAGCCTCAGTCTCTTTGTCTAAGAAATGGGCACCCCTGGAGTGCTCTTAGTAATGAAAACCCACAGCCCAATTTATCAAGACTGCTGTTTGCAGGGCCTGGGAGCCAGATAGGATGGGGTTGGAATCCTAGCTCTTGGACTATCATGAGCTGGGTGACCCTAGGCAGGTCACTCACCCTTTCTGAGCCTCAATTTTGCCTGTGACACAGGTGTAAGAATAGTGCTGAGCCCCACCAGGCCTAGCACAAAATGAACATTTGCTGGCGTGGACCGCGCCCATACCCAGTGCATATTTCTTGTGTCTGGGCTCCTTTGCCAAGAAGAGGGGAGAGAATGAGAGAATCCGAGCATCCACAAGGAATTTTCTAGTGGTGGATGCAGTGGGTTGAGGAAGCTCTCCAGGGCTGGCTGGGATTTTGGAACCACCTGGAGAGAGGCAAAGAAGGCGACTGCT